ATATATATATATATATATATATATATATATATATATATATATATATATATATATATATGCGTGTTATAAGATACCTGGCCTAAAACTCAACGTTGTTCATTATCAGTCGATATACTGATGGCGTGATGTGAAAATGAATGAACTACAGATATGTCCGTTTGTCCAAGGATGACTAATTCAAACAAACCGCTGGACAATTGCATTTAATGACACTGTGCTATAATAAAAACAAGCTTTGAACGGACTATACCAGCTGCATTGCAATCATAGCAACAGTTTTCAAGGAAAATTTCCGATCGCATAAATCAAAGAGATCTTCCAAAGAATGTCCTAATAATTCCATTACCAAAGCGTTGTATTTTCCGCATGGTCCAAAGTAGTGCACTTGCGGCAGTCCTTCTACAAAAAGGCACACTGTAATCAGAAAGAATTTTAAATAAAGTCATCTTTTCCTTAGATTTCTAGATATTTGGACTATATAACCTAAAAATGGATAATAATATTCTCACCTGGCAATTATTTTTTCAAGATCCGAGGTAGTAAATCTCAAACACTTAAGGAGTGAAGAGAAAGCAAGATGCAAACGGATGAAGAATTCCATCTTCTTTTTCAAATTTTTTCCTTGGAAAATGAAATTCATCTCAAGCGAAGAACTATGCTTCTAAGATTTCTCAGGCTAAATATTTCCATCATATACGAACATGTCAGCATCAAACGATTTGGATTTGTAAAATGAACAAAAAGCAGCCAGTGGAAAAATGAACCGTGCTGGCCAAGTAGCTTGTAAAAACGATATTCGAGATGAAGCTGAGGGGCTTTGCTTTTCAAGGGTTCCAATTTGATAGCCACGTGCTCATTGTTGTATAGATTCTTTCCTAAACGCAGTTCTCCAAAATTACCGCACCCAATTTTCTTTCCTACCTGAAATGAATTTTAAATTCTTATTACATTTCTCACGAATCATGCAGACAACACTTTCCCTCTCGCAACAATATCGAATCGAAATTTTAAAGATTTCCCGCTGCTTATCTCAAAATGCAGCCCAACAATACTTCTTTTAAACTAGTTTTTAATGCTAGACCACATATTCCTATATGCGTAAGAAAAATCGAGAAAATTAAGGGAAGTTCCCTCGAAATTTTAGAAAAAGGAAAGCTCCACGAAACTTCTATATCTCTAAGGTTGACAAAATCTCACCGATTATATGAAAATTAAAAGTAACATGTCAAAAGTCATAATAATATTTATATAGCAGCAGCTCACAAATCAGAATTTCAAATCGACCCAAATCTTGTAACTAGATTTGCATTTTTCAACTCAGGAGGTTGCACTGCACTGTGTATGGCACTAAGTTTGATCGGAATCTTTCATTGTTATTTTTATTGTTGATAACAAAAACTTAGGGGACAAGTAGCAAAGTGGATAAAATTGCAACACAAAATGTACATTTATTTTCAATTCTATTTGGAAATTCAGATGGAAAACTCTACTTCCAAAAAAAACGGAATTTGAAAGAACTGGAATTAAGAAAGAAAATGGCACACGTCGTGTCCTTCACAATTTATGTTTCACTTTTCTTTAAAGAATTTTTTTCATGAATTCAATATGTTAGAAATGCATTTCCTACAGGTTATTCGTCTCATTTTTAGCTCTTTACACAAGATTTTAATCGCTGAAAAAAACTCGAAAAACGAAAAAAAATCCTAAAATTTGGAAAATCCGATTGTCAGTGCAGATATTTTCGAATTCTGCTACATAAGGAAGTCATGGTTTCCATTTGCATTTACATGTAAAGGAAAGGAATATTACTGAGATAAAGTAACTAAGTCCTGAGCAATAAAGCTTGAGTGCAAAACACTGATATCACAATCGGTACAGTTAATATTCATTGATTCAGTCTATTAATATGTTAATTCAAGTTAACATGATATGTAATCACACCTTGAAATTGGGTCCCACCATTAGAACTCCTGATGAAACGGTTGCTAATGGAGTTGCAGATGAATTTGGCCCACGCGCGTTCGTCATACCAAGTGACTGCGTTGCTACTTGTGAACTACTGCCTGAAGTATACACGATGAGATCTATGAGATGAATACTAATCTCCACAATATTTCATAACCGCTATCCTCATGAATATTTAAATAGTCTGTGTAAAACATTACTCTGAGATATTTGTAAGCCCGTATTTAATTATGTAAGCTTCACAAAAGAAGCACATGTTGCCGAATATTAATCCTAAATCTATATCAACAGATTGACAATGATGAGGACTAAGCAGCTTTAGATGGTCTAACATGCTAGAGTCCTACAATCACCTTTTTGTTTATCCCGACCATTTTCGATAATGATAGATCGTCGTTACTTATGCTCCACAATAAAAAACAGAACTCAAATTCTGTTGGAGATATCATATATAATCAAAAGAGTCGTTATAATAGTGAAAAACAAGCAAGAGACTTAGTAAACTTTCAAAAAATTTGGCTTTAAATACTGAAAGGATTAACAAACCCTCTGAAGCTTGTAAAATATGAGCGAAATGTTGGCCGCCGCCCGGAAATAGCCCTGCGGCTCCAGATAATTTCGATGGACGCTGTGCTGGCACCCGTCTGAAAGAAACAAAAATGTGATGTAACTTGTAGAATTGTTCAATTTCTATAACGACGTAACAAAAAAAAAAAAAATTTCTGATACACGGGGATCAATTCAGCGTGCTCTTTTGTGTACAGCGAAACAAACAAGTAAAGAAGCAACGAGTGGCAAAGCAAAACAATAACATTATATATATATATATATACGGAATATACACATGGAAAGACAACGACAGCGACTTCAATACTGCTGCAACCTCACTATACTGTCTTCAAAATTAAATATTGCAGTGCTTTCTTAAATTGCTGCTACGAAAAATTGCTTGCTAACCTTTGGTAATCTATCAAATTCATAAGAAACACTGAAATCGACAACGAAGAAATTTTAGAGACTAGTCTCACTTAATATCTCGTTACACTGTGATGTACATTCGTGAAGATTTTCCCAATTGCAGCGATGAATAATACGAAATGGGATTGAGTGAATTTAAATCAAAAACAAAATAACGGAAAAAAGTCACCACTGACATCTGCTGCTTATGCTCAGAAAATCAGCCAACTTATTAGCAATCTGCGACAAATCAAGTATAAAAATGATTTCCTATTATTTTTGGAAACATCCTTTACTGCACGGCAATTGTCACTGGTTTGCACACTGACCTGATGCTAAGTTTCAAAGCAGTGTTGCATTACATACAATTTTTGTCCCTCTCCATTACGTAGGATTAATTTTAGCTATAATCTAAAATGAGGAATACAAAAAAAAAGTTGTCAAATAACAAACTAAGACAGTAGAATGACCATGTTATTTCCATTCAGTACCATCTTCATATAAGTGAAAAAAACAAACAAAATTTTGAGAAAGCAAGTTGATGTTTCGACAGAAAATATGTCACGTGAATGCGCAAATGAATGCACGAATACACTAAGGTTTGCTGCAAAAAAATCATCAGTATTCTACTAAGTTCAACAGTGTTGAGACATTTACAATTAATCCAAATTCTTTTACAACATTTGTTCAGATTTGTTCAGTTCTCACTATGACTGTATATCCATTTTATAGCTACATTCACTGGTAATTCAAAAATCCACTGATAATTCAAAATCAAAAATTAATATGAAACTTTTAAAAAACAGAGTGATTAAAGTTACTATTTGATTTGAAATGTCACTGCCGTTGGAAAAAAGTGTTTAAGATCGGTTTCCGAAAGAAATGCATCCCTACTGTCAGCCTAGAGTCAGAAATAGCAACAATAATAAAAAGGTTAAATGTTTGAATCACAGCAACAATACCAATGAGTTTCACAGCCAGAAGAGCTCCTCCAGTATCGTAGTGATGGTGCGATTATTCACTATCTCATCGGTTCATCACCGCTGTTCATAGAGATCGACATGACTAGACGGACATGGCCATCATGTTGAAATAAACAAACAAACAAACAAACACATGTACACACACACACACACACACATAATTTGACAAATACGTGCGGATGCTGAAGGTGAAATACTAGTGTGAAATACTGGGTTAATTGAAGAGCTGAACTGATCAAAGTCTAACTCAAAAATCCGGTCATATATCACAGTTGCCTTCACTAAATAATAGAATAATTAAATGATGTCAATACATATTCCTTGAAAGCTGGCTCAGAGATGTTCATCGAAATTTCAACCTACGTAAAGTTTATACTTTATGTTTGTGCATTTTGCATAAAATGAATATTACTTACATTTTACCGCATAATTTTTACAGTCGATTGAACTGAATCTAAATCCCCATAAATGTCCGGCTCAATAAATTGAATGAGGAAAACAAACAGTTGATAAAGTCCTTCACTTTTTCATTTTATATTGAGTAATCACTCGAAAACTAGAGCGGCACTACATCAATACACATTTCGAATATAATTGAAAGACAGAGGGAACATCCGTAATCGCAACATCGTTATATTCTGTTTTGTTCTTGATTTTTTCATTTGGGTGAAAGCTGTAGATATTCACTATAGTTCCGCTCACTTCACTAATTTTCCTTTTAAGTTGATGGTGGGACATACCGCAAATATCCTCTTAAATTAAATTCACGAGAAATATTAGATATCTTCATTTGAAGGGTCATGAAAACATAAGTATTATACAATGAACTTTTGAAATAGTGCTGTATTCAACTTATATAAGATCAAAAAGTCAACAACAGAGCGACAGCGACAAAACAAGAAATACCCTTAGTTCCTAGAGGTATAATGCAGTGATAATGAAGTTTAACAGGATGAAATATCGTTATTTTTTCCCTGCTGTTGAAGTAGTGGAAAGCATTAGATTATAAAAAGGTGTACTGCTAGATCTACCACTAAAGTTCTCGAGGAAAATCAATCAGTGAAAATTTTCGAAAATATCATGAAGATACGCCTGTCACAATTTTTTTATAAACTGTTTGAACTTTAGAGAAGGAAAATATTCGGAGAGTCGTAATTTGGCTCAAACACAGCGATTATGGAGATAATTCTGTCTATGCAACTCAGTGAGAATAAGCGATTCTTAGTACAATAATCTGACGTGCTTCATTGATTCTAACGTTTTGCTTACCCAATTGCCTATTTCTTCAGCAGTACTACTGCACTTCTCGCTTAAACAGGGAAATGTACCAGGAATTTGTTTAGGCAGGATCTAAAATGATTATAGCGGTCTCTGCAAACTTCCCATAAATTCGTGAATTTCCTTGTGTCATTATTTATATATTTTTATAGATAATCTGTTTACTACAATGTTAATGGGGCTTAGAACCGTCATTTGACAGAAAGTAAAGCCACATTTCATAATGACTATTCATGCGGTGGAAGCAAAAGTACATTTGATAACTGTCGATGAGATTATCACCTCAATCGATCATGAAAGATCATTACATATTGAAAAGTGGTTACACACAACACTACACCCACAGTGACCGCGGTTATGTAGATAACAAGAAAATGTGGATAAGAAACGCCTCATCATGATGACATCCACTATTTAGTGGATCAGTATTTACTGAGAATATAACGCACCGTTAACCACCTCCAGCACGATTATACTAAATTCCTCTCGACTATCGATCCCATAGACCACATAACAATATATCCCATTGAACAACTGCAATACATGGCACAATGTGAAACAATACGTTCCACCAATATAAATCCTTATGTATTCAATATATAGCAATAGGTAGGTGGTTCTAAAAGTAATGAAGCATATACGCGCTAAATGGAAAAGAGCGATAATGTATTAGTAAAATATGAAGGGGAAATATCTGGTGACGTATATCTTCCTTACTCCATTGCTCGCACACAAAGCAATCATCGTCACCCTGCAGTGAATCTTTCCCTATTGTTTGCTGTAAAGTAATGCGGATTCTATAGTACTCAGACATTATTTATATGTATACAACACATCCTTATCAACTTATATATATATATGTATATACTCATGTTTGCTACAAAGGCTACAACGCTGCAAGTGGTGTATCTTTCCGGCTTGCGCAGTGAGTTTTTTTGTGCGCGGAACTAGCTGCACTCTTTACTCTTAACGTTCATCTGCCAGGACCTAGCGAGCTAGGACGGTGACAGTGAAGTCCTTAGGATGTAGACTTTGTCAGAGTGTGCTTCTTTTCGATAAATGGCCTTAAAGGGCTAAACAAGCTCCATCTGCCCCTGTCTGGAGTTGGAGTTGTCCTCCTAGAATAGTTGCTCGAAGGCTAGCGAGTCCATCCTGCCCGTGGATAAACTTTGTCTGACCCTTCAGTTGATACTTCAGACCTTTCTGGCATTGAAGATCATACCAGAGGCATAAGCCACCGCCAGTATAGCTTGCAACTTCATAAGGCACGCAAGCTTTCCCGCGAAAAGTAGGGTATCCGTGGTATATATATATATATATATATATATATATATATATAATATAGATGAAATACCACGCCACAATTCAATTATCAAAACAGTGAACTCGGAACGATCTCAATAAATGTCGAAATGTTATTCTTTGTACTTCTTATTATTTTCCATAACTGCCTCGACTACAATGTGATGAAGGATGACTACTTCCGCATCAGATACTCAGTATCTTTGAAGTTCAAGTTGCGAGCAGCTAGAAAACTGTTGAAAACGACTTTTTTGTTTTTCATGGTAAGAGTAAAGACAAAAGTGAAAACGCAAAAAATTATTGTCACCGAAATCTGATAATACTACTACACGCTTACCCAGAATCAAAGTTTACTAAATGTTTCCTTACTAATTTATCATTAAAAAAAAATAAAATCCAAACACCCGAATAGATAAATTCTCGATAATTGCAGTGAGATCGAAAGGAATGTTGGCGCAAAAGTGAAAAGAACCATCGCATGGTTATAGAAAACATTTATTAGAAAAACGAAGCAGACTAGACGTGTCCTTCAACAAAAAACTGGCATGCCTGGAACACTATCTCTCATAATCAAGAGCATACAGTCCTTAGAAAAAGATTAACAAAAAACGATAATTCAAGAATACATTTTTGACGAAAGTCGTTTTTAAAACATGTAACAGATTGCCTAACACTTACTACTAGGAAATAACATTATTCTTACAGCTTACAACTCATTGCTAATATGACATTGACATTTTGGAAAATACCGCTTTCAAATTTAACTGAAGATTTCTTAACTTGAATTCTTAAATGGTGTATTCTCAACAGCAGGAAATCGTTTTAAGCAGAGGAAATAATCCGCTTGAAATATACCACTATGTTTCAACCGTTCAATATTGTAATACAATAATTTTTCGACGATAAAATGCCTAATAGAAAAAGTATTTAACAAGCAGACCAAATTTAAAATGTGCTTGCTTGATGGAAACATTTCAGCTACTTTTTGGTAATTTTATGAAGCTATCAAGACCCACTTAATAACAAAGTCGTCATTCACTGTGGAGCAAAGCGAATAACTGAACGATAAAAAACAGAACGCAGAATACAAAAACCGGAATGAATCAAACAATGCAAATAGATTCCTTCCATAGCTATGCATGATAATTTGAACTTCCCCAATTGAAAATGAATACCTGAAACAATCAGGTTGTGTCAATGTTTCCAGTCAAACTGCTACTCGAAGATATGGAGCACCTTGTATTTCATGGAAAATAGGAGCAGAAAGAGGGCCGGAGACTTTCAATCAACAATTTTTCGCAAGTCAATCAAAACTAATTGTTTAGACATACATAATTTAATTATAATATACAAATTATCATTACTTACGCATTCCTTATATGTTTTTCAGCAGTAGTTGAACTTAATTCTAACGCTTTTTTCGAAAGAAATACCTAAAAAGCACTTGCCTCCTTTTAAAGTAAACCGCCTAATGAATATTGCCATCATTTAAGTGCTGGTGTCATTGATATGATGAGGATGGCTTTAAACAGAAAGTATTAATGCTAGTATTGTTTAGCGAAAGTTGTGACTGAATACATGACCTTACAAATGATATGTCTTCCCGCAATTTTAATGACCAATATCTCTCCCTTTTCTTCCTTCCTACTAAATTAGCACTATCTTTTTGAATAAAATTATGATGAGGGCGGCTTTAATGATGATAGAACTCGAATAACAGTAAAACTATCAATATAAGGAAATAAGACGGAGATTTTATTGTTACTTACAGTTCGTGATGAACAACTAAACAAGCATTCTCTGAAGGATATAAAGCAATAGCGAGCATCAGCAACACCGTATGCACCATTCATAATAAGCAAACAATAGCATCTAAATGGGAGCATCTAACGACAGCAATGATATTAATAACGGTATTAGTACCGATCCAGGTTTCGTGACTCGCGCTCTGATCGTCCATTCCTGTCCTGCATACGCAATAACAGCATGTTGATTCGGTTCGTTCTTTCCCAGACTATTTTTCCAAAATGGAACTATTATGTGAAAACCTGGAAATGAATGTAAATCGAAATGCAAGAAAAAAAATTAGTCACTGTGATGAACGATACCAATCTTTTAATCTGAGAAAGCAAAGAACTGATATACTATTTCAGGATGTTTTATGGGAACAAACTTCCAAGCATTTCTTACGTAACTTGCTGGACTGGTGATTAAGAATATAGGAATTATCGGACAAGTTTATCGAAAAAACCTGTTCGAAATCAAATAATTTAGATAATTTCTTTTGTTCAATGTTCCATGCGCAGTTTCTACGAACTCATCTATGAAAATGAAACTTTTCTTATGCTGATTGAATTTCAGGAAGTAATTTACGGATCGGAATTCCTTAAAATTCTTTGTTATGATTTCCAAAGCTTCAAATTCTAACTTTTCCAGGATAAGTAGACAAAATACCATAAGAAGTGACTTACTAAGAAACTAGTTACGTCACTAAGAAGAGGCATAAATAGAAAAATGCTATTTATTAATATCACGTGGAAAAAAGCGACTCATATAGCTTTCACCACATATCGGTTTAAAGTAACCTTAATGGGATGACTATTTGCTTTAGTTACCCATTATTTGTTGTTTTTTAAAACTGCCAACAAAAAATTTAAAACCAATAAGTTTTTAAAGTTAATCATGCCTCTACGAAGTGATTATTAAGAAGTTAATTATGCTACTAGGAAATGACATAAATAGTAAAATGCTATTCATTAACTCTAACAGACCTCTTTTTTTCACCCCCAATGACTTTCAGAATCCTAGTTAGAACTGAAGTAGCACCTCAAAACATCTGTGGAGAGCAAATGATGTTAGTAAAGAATTTTCAATGTTCCGGAAACCACTATCGAGAATATGTAATCCAGTACTGAAGGCTAACTTGAATGCTTCTAAATGTGAAGACAGCACAGAAGAGTATAAATATCACTTATATTTGAGCAGAATTAAAGGTAGCACCTAAATATTAATTTTATATCATTTACTTATCGCTTATATATATGTAGTAAGCTAATGTTCCAGGAGTCAGGAACGGGAGAATGAACTTCCAGTTAACAGTTATTCAAGTTTCAGGTTTCTGAAAATGTAGATGAAGACTGTCGCCGATTTTAAGCAGAAACAGAAGAGGGGCGGATTTAACCGTTCTCAATGCAACTGTTATGGAAGTGACACTGGAACTAAAACAAATGGATAGAGTCATAAGGATAAAGAAAGCTGAAAGTGAGCAAAAAGGAATACAGAATCGATTCCATTGAGCCGGCCTACTCATTCTGCTTCTAGGCTGATTTCAATGCGATCCTACTCAGCTTACTTTCATCGACTTCTCATCAACAGCATATCAGTCACGACGAACAATTAGTGCCCAGATATCTTGGATGTTTTACTGCAAACATTTTCAAAGCCATCGTGAACTTGGAACAAATAACCAGTCTAACTCTAGAGTCAGGCAGTGCCACTAAAAGTTCAAAAGTCAAGCGATGTCTCTAAGCCTAAGGACAAAAATAAAAAGTTCTTTAATCCTGGAAAAAATGCAAATTAAGAATTGTACAACCACTCCATCCGGTGATATTACTATTAAGCATGGTCCGACTAGAGATACTAATAAAGTATGAAGGCATCGGATGTGCTTTGGAAAAAGCAAAGTAGAGAAAATCAACCAGAATGGGAATGCCTCAGAAATAGAAAGAGAGGTTATTATTTGAAAAATGATGGGACAAGGAAAAAGAGGGACTCCTGAGGTGTTAGAGGATGTACAAATTTCCGATCAAATCGACGGATACTGCAGTTGCGACGGTCGCAATGCAGTCGACAGATGCTGAGGCGTCTACATGGAATGCGGTGAGGTCAGTCGCTACCGACGCCTCAGTAGTCACTGAAGATTTTAATGCGGCTCGGATTATCGGAGACATCCGACAAGATTAATAAATAACAGGTGAATGAATAATTACTGAAGACGTATTAAGTGTTGTTTGTCAAAATATTAGGAGTCGGGATATGATAAAAGCAAGGGTGAAAAAGCGAAGAAAAAGGATGACGCTGCCGAATGCATTTGTTCTCGCACTTCACTCCGCAGTAACTCGGCAATGTCGTATGCTGATAGAAGGAAGGAAATCAAATATGCTTCTGCATCCTGACTAATATATGCTACTTTGATTGGTTTCCCGGTAGCTGGTTTTGGTGTTGACGGCAGGAGGCCCCTGTAAACTGTCTCTTCCCTGCTCTCTCTGCTGTGTGATTCCGGGGGAGGAAAAGGAGGTGAAAATTGTTTGGTGAGCGTTGATAATATTGGTGGATGTCAGTAGAAGGATAAGCAGATATGTGAATCAAGGAAATCGATGGCATTTTATCTGTTCTTGGCCTGTGGTCGCTTTTGTAATTCTCTTCGAATTCACACAGATATTTCTTATGTATCATTTTGACGAATTAAAATAATTTATCAAGGTTGTAGTGGATAGAATGGAAATCAGTTCAACGAATCCAAGTATTGATTCAACGGACCCAAATTGGAATCTTTTCTTGCACCAACTGCAAGCTGAAAATCAGAGGCAGAAATTTACAGAGCAGGTTAGAGAGTTCTGTGATTATTTTTCTCTTCTGTTTTACAGTCATGCTTGTACCTCTTGTTATACTTATATTTCTGCATTTTATATCTAAAATTTTTTAATTCTCATTCCCATAAGATTCGATTTGGAATTGGGTTAATTTGGAAATGGTTTTTTGGAAAAAATTAGCTCCTTGGAAATTGATATTTAGGGCATATTTTTAATACTTTTTACGAGAATGGCATATACGACAAAGAGATTGGGCTCTTTTTCTGGTTATTAAACTAATTACTGCATGAATTAGTTGTTCCTTTCGTGGCTATCTGTCAAATCTCCGTGATCAGTCAAGTGGAGATGAAGTTTGTCGACTATGTTCAGGCTGCCGAGGTGGTTTGATCTTTAAGTCTTTTGATTGAAACGTTACAGGTGCAAACGTTGACTGGTCGTTGTTGGGATGTATGCTTCTCGGATTATCGACCACCTAGTAAATTGGACGGGAAAACACAAAACTGTATCAACAACTGCGTGAATAGGATGATTGATGCCAGTAATTTTATGGTGGAACATCTACAGAAAATGAGTGCTACTGAAATGAGCTGAAATGGCCGAATTTTAATTATTATTGCCTGTGGACCATGAATTTTCAAAATATGCTAAAAATACTCGCTTATGTTTTTTTATTGCTGTTTCTCTTGATGTTACAGGTTCTGAATATCTGTAAATCCAGCCCTTAGGTTCTAAACTCAGCCATGATGCTAAGTATGCTTGTCTTTTATTTATCCAGTTATATCTGCTTTCATCGTAATTTTCATTCACGATTGTGACATGCCGTGATTTGTTGATTTGTTTCGAAAATCTTAATAAAGTATTGTGTTTTACTGTGTGTTTTATTGTGTTAGTACCAGTTATTGTGTGTGTTGAACATTTTATATTATTGAAGTCACACATAATGAATTCGATTGTGGGTTTATTTGCTTAGGGTAGAAATGATATTTACCGATGACATTTCTTCCTAAGAAGATAATGTTGGAATGCCAAAATATATCTGTATCCAAGAATTTATAGATTTTCTAGGAGTTGAACTTCCCAGTCTCAATTTTTGGCAGATTAGAGCATGTGTCGTCCTCACTGTAGAATAGAAAAGCATAAGTTTGAATAAATCATTTTAGAACTGATAGTTTTAATTGACTGCTAAAAGCTATTTTAGAAAGTGGCACTTTTTTATATGACGCATTCAACCCTAATTTCTGCAGTGGGATTGATCGTCTGTTTCCTGGACCGCACAACTTCTACTCTCCTCTTTTTCCACAGAACAACTATCATATACAGGTCATGACGACCCAGGAATGCAGGATGCAAGCATCGTATTTATGCGTGTGTATGTATGTACATTTGTAGAAATACAGATTATCTGATATGCTTTTAGCCTAAACGTTAGCGCTTTTCATATTGGAAATGTTTTACTGACCAGTTTACTTGTAGATAGAAATCAAACCTTGTGAATCAAAACTGTTGTATTGAGATGTCCCGTAGTGCTGGGGAGAGTGCAGATTTAGTTGGACTTCTGTTTTATTTCAAAAAAGATCCATTTTTTTCAAAAATCAATGAATGGCGGCTGGTCGCTTTTCTGTTTTTTGTTTTTTATTTGGAAGGGCAAAATGGTTGAGCTACTGCAAAGCTTGAATGTTTTGAAGCCAACATTACAACAAAACAAAAACAACAAACAACAACGACAACAAGAACAAACAGCAACAACAAACAACAACAACAAACAACAACAACAAACAACAACAATAAAAAATAACAACAAAAAAGGACAACAACAAACAATGGCAACAACAACGACGACAAATAATAACAGCAACAAACGACAACAACGACAAATAACAACAAACGAAAACAACAATAACAATAACAACAACAACAGCAATAACAATAACGACAAAGCAATAATAATAACAACAATAAAATTTTGAAATGAGATTGAATTCAATTCCAAGCCAGTTATAAAGGCACTAAGTTCCAATAATAGTACTGACCGAAGGTACCAGAAACATTGTTGGTCCCATATAAAAAATAGATTGCAACATTAGCATTGAAAGTGTTTCGTGAGTGAAGCAGGGAAATCGAGGCGTGGCGTAGTTAAACTTGAGTTTATATTAGCTAAAATTGCGTCAGAGAAATAATCCTCATCACTGTTAGGATCCAATTAATCTTGGCCGACGGGGTTGGGGCTGAAGGGAGCAAGGACTACTGATTTGTTTTGAATGCATTTGAATAGGATGGCTAAATGTGTAAGATCCCGAGTTAAAAGAAAATAGAAGCGACAAAATTCCTTCCTTTCATTTTCTTTTTTTTCGACTTCTCTAAATTTTAGCGAATGTTCCATGCATTTTCCGGAACATTACTTCATTTTGCTGCTACTTCAATCCTAAGCAATTTATTGTCATCTGTCTAATGAGCCAAGTCGATTGAAACGATTATCTGCTATCAAATGAAGTCATCATATTACTGTTATTTTTTTTTGTCTTCATTTGGTTATATCCAAGTATTTACTAGACCTGGTTGTTTGGCATCTTTCCGCTCCATTTCAGTCCCTAATCATTCATTCGATTTCAAAAAATTTAATTTCCAGCGACTTGTGAATTAGCTTATTTCACTGCATTGAAACAATTTTTTAACTTGATCATTTCCAACCCTCTGAACTACCATATTTCCGTTTCAGACTTAGAAATCAGTGTAATTTACAGTAATGATATGCCCCAATTACTTTTACTGTATTTCATCCTGCAGGTGCCGCTCATGGCAAGTGTCGACATATGCCAACATTGCCGTTGTGACCGACATTCTTATACTATCAGCTGTACGGGGTATAACATTTTGTTACGGTCAGTGATTGCACCGCATTGGGCCAAGACTCTGCATCATATGTTCATGCGACATTTGCCTCATTTTGTTCATAATGAAAATATTAAAATTCTCCGGATCAACTTCTGCGACTTGACACATATTCATCCATTGTCGCTTACTTCGTTACCAAATCTGGAAACGTTACATCTTGCTGATAATATGCTAACAGATCTACCATCGGAATGTTTCTTTGAACTTACCAAATTGCGGATTGTAAATCTGGCACGAAATCTGTTCCGTGACCTGAATCTAATCAGTGAAACGCTTCCAAGAAGTCATATTCTGGAACAATTCAGCATAGGTGGTAATCCAGTAGAGATGAGTTCAGTTGGTATTCAGCTTCCTTTGGCTCGACAATTGCACCGATATGAACACCAATATGGAAACGGTCAACGATTCTACTATAACTTTCTTGCCCAGTATCCGATGCAGTGCATCAGAAACGTTCTGTCGTAGCATGCGAATTTCGAATCAGCAATGGTTCATTCTTCGTGAATTAGATTTGTCTTCTCAGGAACAGCTTGCAATTCAATCATCACTTCTTCTTGTTATTAATAATGTTAGCACCCTAAATCTCGGTACAACTAAATTTCCCGACTCATTTCCTGATTAGCTTCACATTTCGAGTCGACATCTAAGTATACCATTTAGCATTCTTCCTAATATAAATCATTCTTGGGAATGGTGCGGTCAATATCTAGAATGGCTTGACATATCCCATATTAATTTACGCACTCTCATCATTCCAAGACATTGTAAGATTCATTATTTAAAAGCGAACGATAATCATTTGGATAAGGTTTTCATTCGAGCTGGGAAACTTTATTTCTGGAACGAAATGATCTGTCTTCTTGGATTGTACCTCTACCTGGTACCACCTTTAATCATATGTTGACACTTTCCTTATCTTCCAATAGAATACGTTATTTACCCGAAAATGCTCTAGCATACTATCCACAACTTCAGCACCTCGATATTTCTCAAAATGTTTTGACAAATCTATTTACTCAGTCGTTTCCGACAATTGGAATACAAATTCGCTCCATCAATATGTCGCATAACAAACTCTCTCGATTTGTACACCCGCTATTACCATCTTTACTGCTTCTTGATCTCTCTAATAATGCCCTTGAAGGTTTAGACTCTTATTTGTTAGCAGGAACTCCTCTTCTCCAACATTTTTACCTAAAATCAAATGTTGGCTTATTTTCAGAATGCAGTAGAATGTCTGAATGTTGAGTAATGTCCCTAAATCAGCTTGGAAATCTGATCGATTTGGACATTTCTGATTGTAATCTAGAATCACAGCCAGATCTTTCCAATTTCCAAGCAATACGTAAACTTGACTTGTCTGGGAATCGATTACCATCTCTAGACGGAGCCTTACTACCTCGCAATCTGTACTATTTGGATGTAAGCCAAAATCTTATCCATCATTTATTCAATAATACCTGTTTGAAAAGCAGTGAACTTCGCAAAATGGACATATCACGGAATCCACTCATTTGTCATTGCACATTGTTGTAAATCAGACAGTGGATCCCAAATGACACATTTTCCACTTCAACTAGCGATTTGTATTACTGCTTTTCCGGAAGTCAGCAATATTCTTTGCGAAACTATTTAAATAGTGCAACAGCATGTCTTCCGGCTAGCTCAATTTGATTTCCAGAAGTATTACTCACAGTAATCTGTTGTCTCCTTGCTGTCGCTATCTTCACACTTTTCATCGCTGCAAACACCAAAATGTCACGTTGTGACAAATGCTTACCACTTACTTACAAACCTCTCTGTACAAATAGCACATCACCTGCCGTTGAGATTTGACTTGCTGAGATGAGGAGGATATAACTGATATATCTATTATGTATGATTGCATACTTTGACAATCTGTGTGAAATTTAGTATCAAATAATGAAGTTTCTTTAGCAAAATCTTCTGTCTCACTAATGCATCATTATGGAATTGTTAAATGACATTCTGTTAATTCTTCAAAATCCTTTTTTTAATTTTTTGGTCTGAATTATCCAATAAATTGTTTCTTTTTACGAAATGTAAAATTAATGAACATGTTGCCTTTCACTCCTCAATAGTAATTGAAAATGGGCGTAGAGCTGTACAGAATAGTTCCTGGTCATTAAAATGCAATATGGAAAATTTGTTTTAAATGGTAAAAAAATGCATTATAAATTTGGAGTTCAGATTTCTTATTTTGAGATCTTTTAAGGTTATAATAACAATGTTATTAACAAATCCGAAAACTCTGCAATGAAGTTTGTTTTTCGGCTATGACCGAACAGGAAATATGCACTTCGAAAACAAAATGTGTTCATCTACAAACAAAACACTTCCAGGTTAGCGGACGGCAATTCAGAAACGGCAGTGAGATAAAAATGCGATTAGATTCCAATTAGATTAGTAATAATAGCTAGCACTCATTACATTATTTAGGTCATCATACTGATATTCGACTGATTATAATGAAGTCAACTTTTATTACTGCTATCATTATTACTGTCAGTAGCTGTGTAATCTAATGTACATGCTTCTGAACTCACTAAAAATGAACTCCTCCATCATTATCATCACATCCTTTTCGAGATGATTTCGCAAGAGCGGTAAAATTATATGAGGAAAATTTTCAGTTGCTAACACCCAATATGTCGGTACTGTACAACAGAAACCAAATAACAGAAGTCATGGAGGAACCTTAAAATTCTAATTGTCAAATGTTCTATTCAATTCATCCGTTGACAGGGTTTATTCATGGAGTATCTTCTTCAGTAGCTTTACCCGGGATATCGGCAACAGGTACAGTATTGTTGCCATACTGTAATAATTTATTCAAATCGAAATTCACATATCAGATTTAAAAGGGAGATAGATATTAACAAAACCTTTTTGAAAACTTGAATAATTATGATCGAAATCAGTGTGTCAGCAAATATAATTTTGTTCAAATGATTGAGCACTGCCTTTCAGTGTGCTTTTCGCGTCATCACTTTATTGAATTGCAACATAAACGGGAGAAAATTGTATATATTTTTGAATTGGCTTTTCGACCATTGCTATGTGATATGCGGTGGATAAGGCGATGAAATGCAATTCCCTATGGAGAAATTTTTTTGACTTCTCTTCTTTCCATATCAGCAATCATTTTTTGTGGATATCTTTTTGAACACCATCCGTATCACAGTGGTAAAGTAAATATAACTAAGTAAATAATGAGTGTCCTATAATGCAAAGAACTGAATGATTGGGAATCGATCTGTTGTTCTTTTTATAAAAATAACAGACCCTGTAACAACGTTCTTGTTCTCGCTTCTTCTGACCTATCTGCTTCCGGAATTTGACTGTGTCTTGAAGCAACTGTTTAATTATATTCTCTGCTCATCTTAAAGGAATATTCTGGGACAAAGCAGAGTTTTCATGTAGAATTGTTTGCATGCCACAGCTTACTCATTCAGGTTGAGATTACTAGAGGAGAGACAAATGAACGTTACCTAATCTACCTTAGAAGATGGCATTCCCCTCTAACAGTTTCAGCCGGGGAGAGACAAAGGTGCCATCCCATTGTCCCATATCACTCAAATATCATCGAGAGCTACAACCTTAATCAAAATGGTACTCCCGGAAAGAAAGAAAGAGAGAAAGAAGGAGAATAGTCAAAATTCGAAGCAGTTGGCAGCGCGCCAATACGAGGTGTCTGTTATATAGAACAGATGGAGTCTGCTAGAGGAGGGCGTCCGTTCTTCCCTTATTTCGTTATGGACGTCAGATTTATGGGTGTCAACCCGTATGATGACATCCTTTAACCCTTTTTGTTTCATTTTGTTGAAGTCAACAATTACGTCCTTCAAGAACAGAATGACCATAAGAGGTTACTGAATGCATTCCAGCAATATTCTGCATTCCTCCGGACTCCTGATTTCATGATGATGATATTACACTGTATTCATATACTATTATGGATCTCATCACTAGTGCTAATACAGTGTAATTACAGATATAGGATGCTCATGGATGAAAACTTCTTTATTGGGGATGTATGCTCAGGTGGTGTCACATCTCAAGACCATCACCATCATCATCAAAAAGTGGCACCTTGCTCGAGTTCAACCTCATCATGTCCTCCAATGGTATACCGAAGTCAGAAGCATTCCCGTTTCGCACTTGAACAAATGAACGAAATGCGATCGGATGGTTCTTTGTGTGATGTGACGTTGGTCGTTGGAACCGTCCATATCAATGCTCACCGACTGCTGCTTGCTTCGTGTTCCAGCTACTTCCGTGCTATGTTCACCTCAGAAATGGCAGAAAGCCGGCAACGTTAGCCTTTCTTTCATTTCAGCCTAACAAATATATGGACATCTCTACCTGAAAAGAAAGGTGAAAATGTATAATTTGATAGACCAACTCTGGAAAAGGCTTTGTCTGTTGTCATTTTCTTCATAAGAGGAAAAATTGCTTTTTCCACGTTCCCCTTTCTTTATCACGAGCTAGTTGGAAGGCTTCCTAAATAGTGAAATATTCAATTTCAAGAAGAAATTCAAATGGTGGATATCGAACCTCGCACATTACAAGCGCTTATTAATTTCTGTTACACGGGTGAAATAACAATTGCTGATTTCAATGTTCAGTCAATCCTACCGGCTGCATGTTTGTTGCAGCTCAATGAAGTACAGGTCATTATATCTTTATCACTTTAACTTTATTTGTTTGTCTGGGTAGCTAACTTAAATCGATAGTCTAGAATTGACATATGGTGTTTGCAGGAGGTTTGTTGTGAGTATTTGAAAAAGCAATTGGATCCAACGAACTGTTTAGGTATACGGGCATTTGCCGACACCCATGCTTGTCGAGATTTAATGAGAATTGCCGATAAATTTACTCATCACAACTTTCAGGTCTTTCTTTTAAAAATTAGTGTCTTCTTAGTGTTAGAGCGTTGGCCTTTTCACATCCAATCTTAGAGTTAATCATCCTAAATATTCAAAAACTTGTGACAGTTTTTAATTTTGAGTTCAGTAAAAGATAAAACTGCAGGGTGTTGCCAAAAGTGAAGAATTTATGTCACTGCCTGCAAATCAGTTAATTGACATCATATCGAGTGAAGAACTAAACGTTCGATCGGAAGAAGCTGTTTTCCGAGCTGCGATGGCATGGATTCGCCACGATCTTCTTAATCGACGTCAGTTCTTGTCGAAGGTCTCGTTCTTCGTCCATTCCTTTTATTTTTTATGTTGTTCGATCTATGCATAGTTAGGAAAACATTTTTGTTCCGAAGCTACAGTTTCTTTTTAGGTCCTCGAGCATGTCCGTTTGCCTCTTTGTCCTGCCAAATTTCTGGTTAGTGTGGTAAGTGAAGACCCATTAGTTAAAACTGATGCGCAGTGTCGAGATTTGGTTGACGAAGCTAAGAATTATCTTCTCTTGCCTCTGGAAAGACCGAATATGCAAGGACCGAGAACAAGGTATCCTCTGGACCTTCTAAAACATTATTATCTTCTAAAATGCAATAGATTTTGTCATTTTGATTCCCGTGAGTCGTAACTGGTAGCATTCAGAAGTAGGAAACCGCTACGTTACGGTGAAGTTCTGTATGCCGTGGGCGGTTGGTGTAGCGGTGATGCTATTGCCTCAGTGGAACGCATGGATGGTCGAACCGGCGAATGGCGTTGTGTTGCTCCAATGAGTAAACGACGATGTGGTGTTGGTGTAGCTGTGCTTAATAATTTATTATACGCCGTAGGAGGACATGACGGACAGAGTTATCTGAACTCTGTTGAAAGGTGGTCGTGCATATAATATTACTTTTGTTCTTTTTTAATTGCTGTTGATGGCAGCTCGGTCGAAAAAGTTAGGTTTTGTTGGTATTGAAATCAAAGTGCTAGCAAATCAGTAACCGTTGTTACATATTTCTAATGCGGACAGCTGCAATAGAAGTGTTCCTGTTACTATTGTTTTTATTGCTTCTTATAATTCAATAGGAAAATCTCAACAAGAGTTGCTGATCATAAATATAATAGTAGACACATTTTAGAAATGATTTAGATATGATCCAGCAACAAATCAGTGGAGTAGTGATATTGCGCCGACATCCACTTGCAGGACATCCGTTGGTGTGGCGGTTCTCGGTGGTTTGCTTTATGCAATTGGTGGTCAGGATGGAGTTTGTTGTTTGAATGTCGTAGAAAGGTTCATGTTTATTTTTACAAGTTCGATAAGAAATGAGGATCGGAGAGTTAGGTACTTAGTTATTTTGATTCAACATGTTGAAGCTTCAATTTACCGCTTTTAATAGTACTTGACGGTGCTGCTAAAAGCTTTCAGGGAATCTTGTTACAGATATGATGCACACCGAAATGAGTGGGCCGAAGTAGCCCCAATGAGTACGCGCAGATTAGGCGTATCGGTATCAGTTTTAAATGGTTGTTTGTATGCTGTAGGTGGTTCTGATGGACAGAACCCACTGAATACTGTTGAACGGTATGTTACTGCTTCTATTGGACCTTTCATTTATTTTCGATTACTTCAGTTGAACTTGAAGGAAATATCTGTTTCAAAAATAACTTTAAAGTTACTGGATCACAATGTAAGAACTTGACCACTATCAAATTATTATAGTTATGATTCGAGAATTAACAAATGGATGACGGTAAAATCAATGAATACGAGACGGAAACACTTGGGAACTGCTGTACACGATGGATGTTTATATGCCGTAGGTGGTCGAGATAATGCTTGTGAACTATCATCAGCAGAGAAGTACAATCCGAACACAAATGAATGGATCAATGTTGTTGCAATGAACAATCGCCGATCTGGAGTATTCCTTTTACTCACATTTCAGATAACTGATGTTTATGTGTGATGCTTCTGGTATTGTCGTGTTTTTGATATTATCTTGGTTTTGTTCTGGCAATTTTTAAGATCTGAAATTGGATATTCATGACGGATTTTTAAGGTACTACGTTTTAAGATATTTTTAAGGTGTCCACTTTATGAGAATGTACATTCGCACTTTAAAGTTTATTTGTTACCGTTCGTCAGCAACTGTTTCAGTAATCATCGCTTATGCAGTACATGACTGCAATTAGCAACAAGCCTGAATCATACCTTTTGCTGCCGTTTTGAAAGAGAAGTGTCTGCTGCAGGCAGTTGTGAAAATACTGATGGTTATTCTCTTATAATCATCATATAAAAATACTCCCAAACAGTACTGATCCTCCAATATCTTTGCTGCGTTTTTGGAAAGCAATTTTTTTGATTGATGTGAATTTAGGTGGGTTTGGCAGTAGTGAACGATCAGTTATATGCAGTGGGTGGTTTTGATGGTACAACGTATTTAAAGACCGTGGAAGTTTATGATCGAGAAATGAACCAATGGCGTCAATCGGGATGTATGATATACCGACGACTTGGTGGAGGTGTTGGAGTGGTTCGACTAGACCACGACCAATATATGCCCTTCAATCCGGACTCTAATTTAGCGCCTTTCGATGACCCTCCTTTGATGTGAATTTCCGAGATTTCCGTACACCTCAGAGTTAGTTAGAGAACTGACTCATGTATGATGATTCATAGAAGTTCAGGAACTGTGATTCCATACTGATTCGTATATGTAATCTGTTCATGTCACATTGCTTTGTATTGTGTATTTATGATAAATTATACCAGTATCTCATTTTGTAAGACATAGGTTCTTTTCAGAATAAATCGCATCATTTTGTCAGGATCTTTCGGGAGAAGAGTGAATTCCAAAAAGGTGTATACGTCGTCGAATTTGAAAGGGAATGCTTTTGTAAGGTTACAGCTATATTTGGGCAAATGTGTCGGATCTTTGGAACATAGAACCCCTTTCTCTGTAAAAATGAGACATTGCAGTGACAAAAGAACTAACAGTCCACTGTTTGGAAGTTGCGACGTATTGTAAGTTCCATACACTGGGTTCATTTCAAAGTATTCGAGGAATAAATTGTTTCAAGCAGCTTAATCAATCCCAATTGATATGACATAATAAGCAGCACTGTTTCTGTTTAAATTTTCGACAGTTTCAGAAGCCCAGAAGATCCTTTGTTGCAGCTATGATATCGCCATTGTGCTCAATCAGCTTTTTCTCAGCACGAATTCTTGGCAATTCCAATTCATCCATCTGAAAGATTATTGGGTCTTATCGTACTCGAATTTTAAAGGAAACAGAAATTGAAAAGAGAACTATAAAGATACGACTGTAACAGCTTTTGCCATTTTTGATGCGTATCATTATTTCAAAATGTATCTTTGATTTAACTACTAGAGGTGCCACAAGTATTTTCGACATAAAGAACGAGGCATAGTGAGATTCATCATATTGTGTTGCATATTTCAGAGCAATTTCTGTTCATAACATCGATAAGATATTAAAAAACAAACTACTAAACCATACATTAGTTGCAAATGACCAGATGTTACCAACTCATTAATGACTATTGTTAATGCCAGCAATAAATCAAACATAGCATCAGTTTATTCCTTTGCAAAAAATAATAGATCGATATAACTTACGATAAGCAGTACGTCCTCTTTCCTCACACTGACCACTTTCCCACTTTCTCTTAACGGTCCACTGGGTCCACAAATCAAGCTGTCGAGTTTCTCATTCGACACTTCTCGACCGATGTCGTTGTCTTCATTGAAATCAGTGACCTGCAAAATAATGATTCATATTACTATTTCCATAATTTAACGATTTTCTATCAGTATACTAAGATAACAGCAAACCTTTTCAAGATCAGCCGCAGCCCAGTCCTTACTTTTCGATGTATCTTTAGCCACTCGATCAGATTGATCCTCGATTCCATTTTGCTCGTCCTTCTCCTTCGCTCTCATCTCTGCAACCACCTTATTAATTAGTCAACAATCAACACCAACCCTCCCGCACTTCCACTAAATTACCTCTAATTACTCCGATAATTCAATCGAACAACTTCTAAAGCACGAAAGCGCCACCGAGAAACAGACTTGCCTGTTGAGAAGTGTTGCTTAATAAAGTGGCATCCAAATGTTATTGTCATGATGTTGTGGAGTTAGCAGGTCATAGGTGACGTGAGGCGTGGAGCTCTATGAGCTGCAAACTTCTTCAATGAGCATAACGCGTGTCGTTATGGATATATCCACCTCAACAGCATTACACAAGCAGGGAGTTTTCGATATGGATAGTAACGCCATTTACAGGTATTGTACACTGGTCATTGTCAGATTTGTAATACCATCATTATTTATAAATAGCAGCGGGAACACTGTGATGATCATGAAATATTCCAGTCAACATAGAAGAAAAAGTCCGTTGACCTAATGATTTTGTCAACAGTTGATTTATTACAGATCGTTATTGGTGATAGGTCTTCTTGCAGTGATTATCGCAGTTTGGATTGTCATCAAAATTCTAAGGTAACTGTATTACTTACAAATAAATCATATTTCTGAGTTGACGAGAGAATGATGTCATGAGATAAAGGAGACGTAAGTTATAAATTAAAAGTAATGTGTTTCTTGTGTGTATTCATCTCCTTCGTACATTGTAGAGTTAGGAATAACGAAATGCGTATTCGACGATATGACATTCTCCCAGCGAAACAGCTTGTTCTGGATCATATTGATTCTGAGGACAGTGATGACGAATTATTCGCTCCAGTACGAAGGGATGATTCCACCAGACATCTTATACCAGAGAACACACTGTAGTGGGCATACTTTTAGGTAATAAGTACTTTTATGCATATTCTATTACAGTTTGTGATCGTCCTTTCTCGATCAGAAATTATTAGGCTATTCTCATCTTTCTTACTTTCATCGCTCATTTGTCCAATAATAAGTGTATATTCATATCTTGGCTACCTTTCATCCTTTATTTTTCAGTAATAAATTCATATTCTTTACTGGTCCCATTATCTTTATTTACTTTTTCTCTTCAGTGTTATGTGATATTAAATGTCAAATGTGCATTTGCATTTCGGTTTTTTGTCACTTTAGTGGTATTGCGACAAAGCCTATATCTCCTTTTTTTTGTATTTGATATAAACAAATTATCCTTGTTCTTTTTTAAATCTAATGTTAGCATCATTAAATTGGTGAAGAAATCTACGGAAAGTTGTTTGCGGGCTTCAATTATTGTCGTGATTTATAAGCAGTTGATTCTTGTTTCTCTATATAATAATATGCTTCAATTTCTTTTCCTTTTGAAGATATTTCGGTTGTACTATAATAATTATTAATTGCATATCAACATGATTTTATGCATTTCTATCTCATTTAATTGATTAGCACTTTGAGTTGGCAAATTTCCATTTTCTCTATTTCATTGTAACTTGTACTGTGTTGCATTTCTTTTCTAATAATGAACCATATTAGCTTACTTGAAAGCAAAAGATTATCTAGAATCTCATTACATTCGTGTATCCGGATCCTGAAAACATATCATACTTCTGTTGCTTGGGATTTTAGCGCCGCGTAGAGACGTTCAGTATATAATGACCTGTTTATATGTGCTTACTTTTAGTCCATCTAATGACTATAATAATAAAACTTTTTGGTTTTATTACAACTAAAACTTAGCTTATTTCACAGCAAGTTTGGCGTACTTTAATAAGTGCGTAGGTTAATGTTTGCCATTCAGTTCGGATTCTTCGGTTTGCAAAACAGATCGAACAAAATAACTGTCCCAATATTTTTTATGTTTCCTCAACAGTTGCAAAAGAGTTAGAGTTTTTTGAAAATAATCTTCAAGGTTACATTTCCCTTTTTCCTTATAAGCCATTACATTCCTGTAGTTTAGGTCCTATTGTTGGGACTTTACTAAGAATCAAATAAGTAAGGTGCATTTACTGTGTGACTTGTTTTCCGTAACTGATCGCTATAATTGACATCATCGGACGGTATTTGCTTACCATAAAAGTGTAGTTGAAATTTCCAATTTACAAGAAAAAGAAGAGGGAGGAACACTGATATTTTTCGCAAAAACAATGATGCATTTTTTCAATTGATTGACTTCCCGTAAAGGCTCTGTTATACTAAAATTCAGATATGCCTGGAGCAATGGATAGAGCTTAATAAATAAAGCGATTTTTTTTAGTATGCGATTAATGATGCAATAAACTTGTCATTTTTAGCGACGACGATCAGTACAGTCCTCGAGCAACAAGTATACAGTTACAACCTATTGGAACTGAAATTTTCGTAAAGCTGTCAAAACATTAGAGACAAAAATGGTAGCATTTTAGCATTCTTTAATCTAATTTGTTT